TTCCTTGTGTGTCAGTGTTTTTGCTTCCTGTCTTGGTCCTGTTTCTGTGTGGTGATTGTCTGCCCCGCCCTAATGTGTTTCACCTGTGTGCAATCACCCTTGCCTCCTGTGTCTATAGTCTTTGTGCTCCCCTTTGTCTGTGTCGGTTCGTCTGTTTATCTCTGGGTTTGTCATCATCTGGTCGCGTTGCCTGTTCATGTCTGGTTCGTCCCCAAGCTGTTCATGTCCGGTTTGTCCTTAGTCTGTTCATGTTGCCTGTTGTCATCCCCTGTGCTTCTCGTGTTTTGGCCTGCTGTTCCTTCTGGTTGCCTGTGCTTGTTTTTTAAGTTCTTTTGTTTAATAAACCTGTCTGCACCATCTCCCAAGTGTTGGCTGCATTTTGGGTCCACCCCTACTTACCACATACCCTGACACTTGGTACATTCTGCAGCATATTACCCAATATGTGACGTGAAAGAAGGCGTGAAATTAATTACCTGTATTTGGAAAAACTCTCCCATCTCGAGCAAGATGTGTTTGGCATTATTGTGTTCCTCTTCACTGTTGATCCCTGCCTACAAAGGTATAGTAAAATGGTTAGGAGAAAGTGTATGACATTTTCTGTTTCTGTCTCTCGTTTCGTCTGGTCATTTTCCAACCTTTTTTCAAAGCCCGTTCTGTAACTTTTAATTCACTACCACACTTCAGTGTCATCACCATCATGTCCATGAGTTTTTTTTTCCTCTCATGTGTTTGCAGTATAAACACACTCAAATATATTTGAGCCACAGAATCTTTGCAACTCAGCCACATAATATCAAAGCATATCTTTAAGTGTTTAAATCGAAAGGGTTGTTAGTCCCACCTCCAGCTCTGCTCTCTGTTCTGGAGTCATGATTTCCATGGCTGTCACTACCAGCCAGCTGCATTTGTTGTCCTGGATGTCTGTACCAATCTTTCCTGTCACAGCAGGGTCACCATAACAGTCAAGGTAGTCATCCTGTAAATGACATACATGGGATGGTTATTAACTTGGTGTCATGGTTTGCTATGGCAGACACCTTTTGTTCGTTTTGTTTGGACTTTTCGCACTACCTGTTTTATTTTGTAATTGGATTCCTTGTGTGTCAGTGTTTTTGCTTCCTGTCTTGGTCCTGTTTCTGTGTGGTGATTGTCTGCCCCGCCCTAATGTGTTTCACCTGTGTGCAATCACCCTTGCCTCCTGTGTCTATAGTCTTTGTGCTCCCCTTTGTCTGTGTCGGTTCGTCTGTTTATCTCTGGGTTTGTCATCATCTGGTCGCGTTGCCTGTTCATGTCTGGTTCGTCCCCAAGCTGTTCATGTCCGGTTTGTCCTTAGTCTGTTCATGTTGCCTGTTGTCATCCCCTGTGCTTCTCGTGTTTTGGCCTGCTGTTCCTTCTGGTTGCCTGTGCTTGTTTTTTAAGTTCTTTTGTTTAATAAACCTGTCTGCACCATCTCCCAAGTGTTGGCTGCATTTTGGGTCCACCCCTACTTACCACATACCCTGACACTTGGTACATTCTGCAGCATATTACCCAATATGTGACGTGAAAGAAGGCGTGAAATTAATTACCTGTATTTGGAAAAACTCTCCCATCTCGAGCAAGATGTGTTTGGCATTATTGTGTTCCTCTTCACTGTTGATCCCTGCCTACAAAGGTATAGTAAAATGGTTAGGAGAAAGTGTATGACATTTTCTGTTTCTGTCTCTCGTTTCGTCTGGTCATTTTCCAACCTTTTTTCAAAGCCCGTTCTGTAACTTTTAATTCACTACCACACTTCAGTGTCATCACCATCATGTCCATGAGTTTTTTTTTCCTCTCATGTGTTTGCAGTATAAACACACTCACCATGTACATTGCAGCTGCCACTGGGAGGTAAAAAGAGTAGAAGGCAGTCTTGTATTTTACAATAGCTTTGTACCTGAAAGAACAGAAGAGAAACCATTAGATTAATTTGCTCCGGTAAACAATATTCGCAAGATTCTTCTCTGCAAACTTAACAGATTTCACTTCATTACCTCTCCATTGTGAACCTGTTGAGGTCAATCTGACCAGGGGGGGCTGTCATGAGGTCCAGAGCTTGGCCAAGCTCTGTCTGGAAAGATGTCTGAAGCACACAGAAATGCAGTCAGAATCCTGTGTTAGTGTGCGTGTGTAATCAATCAGTACGTATAGTACCTCAGTAAACAGCTCCAGTAGGTGAACGTAGTACGGCTGGTCCCTGCAATGTCTGCGTAGTAGTCTGTAGATTGACGCTTCTAAGAGAAATGAATCATTGATGGCCTCCAGACCGATTCCATCCTTAAAAATAAGCACGGAGGAATGACGTGAGAAACTGAGCCAACCGACAACATTTATGGTGAAAAATACCACACAATAATTACCACACTACAAAAAAAGCCTTTTTAGTCTCTGTGTAAGTGGAATACATCAAGTCTCACCTTCTTGTACCAGCAGGGCTGTCCTCTCCGAGTCACAGATGCATCCATGATATCATCTGCCACGAGGAAAAATGCCTGAAGCTGCAAGAAATGGGGACAGTTATAACACTTAATGACTTAGAGGATGTCAAACCACATGCAAATGGTCATTACAACAGCCAGTCTGACTCTGTGCTTAAGAGATTAAGTTTCAGCAACACTTTGGGTTGCACATGAAAAAAACAAAACATAACAAATACATGAATCTATAAGGCTAGAGTCTGAAAAAAATCTTATCAAATCAATAAGGTTAAGATAACAGGTATGGATTAATTTGCTGATTGTGTTAATTAACTGGTTTGAAGTATAACAAACACTCACTCTACTCTGTTCAGCATTCGTCGTTACAAATAACGTAAATCTTTAAAATGTGGTAACAAATACATAGGTACATGTTTAAAAGGGGCATAGTAACCTTAAACAGGTAGGCAGCTTAGTTTTTGTCAAATGTGAACAGGTAAAAAAATGTGACTTGAAAGGACTTGGTGCATTAGTGTGTATTTGTCTATGGAGCAATGTGACATTGTAACTTGTATATTCCCCTTTAACATGCCATAACATACTGCATACATACCAACTCAATGCACCAGCCAACCAACAGAGCCCGCTGTACAATGTCCTGGGTGAGCTGAGAGGGTGGGAGAAGCTCCCTCAGTGAGCCAATCACAGACAGGCCTCGGTTCCTCTTTCCTCCAGGGGCATTGTACAGCAAAACCTATGAGCAAAGGGTGCAGAGAGAACCTACGTGAAACAGCAGTTCAGCACTTGTCAGACAATACTCGGCATGGGACAAGACAACATACATACCTCTCTCAACCTGTTGAGAGCGTCAGCCAGCACAGGATCGGCGAGGTCCCTTTCTGTGAGCTCTGTCACCAGCTCCTGAAACTGGGCTTCAAACAGCTGAGGGTCTGACAGCAACGCTTTTTTGGTGTGCGTCCCATTGCAAGTGCTGTCTCCCTGGAAAGACGAGGTGCACAACAGAAGAGGCGTGCTTTTTAATTTAAGCGGGGACACCGCCAACCACACTTTAGTGGTATTAATGACCAAGCTGAGCAACCGTCTCATTCCCGACCCGCCAAGTGTCCTGACCAACGATAAACAAGCTGTGGTCTATCAGACTGTACCAACTACTAAAGAAATGACATAGCGTTAGAAAATTGTTGTTCCGGGTGAGGAAAACTGCCAGGCTAGTCTAGTTAGCTCCATGGTGTCATATCCCGAGAGCAGTAAGCAAGAACAAGGATTAGGTGAAGAGAATTACTATTATTAGCTAGCAAGTTCCGTTGTCAGGACAAGAAGCGTTAGCTGACATTAGTCTACATTGTCCTCCTGCATCCTGTCAGTTAACTAAGTTAGCTTTAGCATACCGAATCAACGTAATTTCTGTTGGTACACATGCCTTTACATACCATAATGATAAAATCCAGTTATCCCAAACTGTTCAGTATAATACAGCAGAAAAGCTTATCTTCTGTTTCTTAGTCTTGCTGTCCTACTGAAGCCTGTGAACGTCTCTTAAAACCAGGATGTGTAGATCGTAGTTCGCTGTCCCGCTACCGTCCGTTTTATTACAACGCAGCAGAACTAGGTTTCCCAAAACCCCTTGCGAGTAGTGCATATGGGCGTGGACTTCGAAGGCTCCATTTGACATTGAACGTTTTCATTGGCTGCTAGTATCGAACCAGGATGGGCTTTTACGTGGACTGACCAGTAGGAATTGTGAAGAGGCGGGGTTTAAGTGGAGTGGTGAGCTTCAAGTATTGTAATCAGTATTACTGAATGAGGAGAAAAACTATATTAAAAAAAGGACAATACAGAGACAAAAAAACAAAGAATATTAGGTTTACAGTATTTTCTGTGATTGTTTTCCTTCGAAAAATGTATAAATCATAAACATAGGTATTTTATTTTATGTCTATTATTTATTTCGTATGTTGAAATACACAACTTGCATTGAAAGTTTTGTCATTGACACTGCATTTAAAATCTGGAATAGGTGTCATATTTAGATACATTTATTATTCAGGTTTCAAGGCTCTATCCTGTTAAGCCTGCCATACAGATATACATCTCTTCAAATAAATAATGTTTTATGCAAGACAGGAGGTAGAAACACAGCTCAGTGCCTTTATAAGGGTGTGTATGAGTGTGCCTGTATCTGTGTGCAGGCTGAGTGTGTATGCGTGTAAATTTTTAAAATTAGTTACATACATATGAGTGTCTCCAAAATGTGCCTTTACTGATATGGAGTCAATATCATCACTTAGTGAGCACACCAAAAAGACTTTCCAAAGATAAAAACTCCAATCTGACACGCTTATATTGATATACTTGAAAATCCAGTATCCAGAGCTGCCAGACTCATCACATGTTCATTGTCACTGGAGTGTCAGCAGCCCAAGGTGGCTTCTATTTTTCTTCTTCTCCATTTAACCATCTACACACAACCCCTTGCAAGTCCAAAGGGAACCGTGCCAACACATAGTGTGAAGCACGACCTTGTAACAAATAATGTCTGTACATTTATTGCAAGAGACTCTTCATTTCATCAGAGTCATAGTGCAATTTACACCTCTTTATCTTACAGGATCAGGCTGCTTTAGCCTGTGTCATAGATATGCATGTGCATTTGAATCATTTTCAAACCCCATCAAAATCAAATTAGGATGCAGAGGCCTGTTTGGGGCCATCTGGCAGTAAACTTTGGAAACACTGCACATCTTTGACTCTGACCTTTCCCTTCAGCTATCTATTAACACAAACACATTTCAATCGCTACTATCATAGGTCTTGGGTGCAAGAGGAGAAAAAGTAATAAGCATTGTCAAAACATGCAGATAAAGACATTCTGAGGACATGTTACTTAGTTACACAGACGGTCAGGATCTAATGCATAAGGTTCCTGCTGTCCTCGGGAGGCTGTAGCAAAACATGCACATATGCAAATCAAACCACCGTGTCCAAGGGGCCACCCACAGAGAATACATTGCAAAAGCTGAATGTGTGTCTGTGGCGTGCAGTACTGTCAGTGTTAGAAATGCTGGCTGCCTTTCTTTGAAGGCTAATGTGGGGATGTGAAAGTGTGGAAAAGTGGGAATCTGAATTGCAAAAAAACAAACAAAACAAAACAAAACAACAACAAAAAAACATTGCAAAATTAGCAACTCAGTCAAGGGGTTTTAATGTGAGAGCATTTGTCCTCATGTGCAACCTCATCTGTTTATCTTACATTGTACTCAGCTAACTATATGTTTATTGAGATGCATTTTTTTTTTTATCAATGGAAGACAAAATAAGGGTTTCCATGATCACTTCACCTGAGCGATCCTGTGGATATATAGCAATGTACAAAAGGGCCAGATGCATATTGCAACCCATTATTATGTAATAGATCGAATGTACATGTGAGTAAGTGGTTGTTGTAGCATGGAGTGCTCATTGAGTTCTGTCTCCAGTCTTGAGGAAAAGATGTTTCCAGATGACTCTTGAGAGGGAGAAGGTGGAGATTACAGCAGAAAAGATGCTTCTGGTAGGTTGCTCTCAGCCGATAATGGATTTGTTCTGTTGGAGGAAAGACCACGCTGGCCAGAAATAAGCATCAAATGACTGTTTCACTGATGTTGACCAGTGAATTAAGTGTGAGCTCTGGGTTGATGTTCTGAGTGATAAAGAGCACCACTGAATAAGGCCATTTGCACAGTTGGCTTCAGGAAACAGGAAGTGGCAAAGAGAAAAAGGAGGGAAGACTTTCAAAATATCAATACTAGATGTTTTTACTTGAATAAATCCTGCTCATCATCAACCTTCCTTTTTTTCCCTGCAACCCTGCCATCTTGTATGCCTCCTATTTTCCTCCCCAATCCCTCCTTCACCCTCTTCTCCTCCTCACAGTGCAGACTCTGAGTAGAGAGCTCCCGATGACCCATGCGGTGGATAAGGCGTCACCAATCGACGTAGTGATGCTGTTGAGGAGGAGCTTAAATCTCCACAGCTGCGCAGGTGGATCCCCTCTGGTGCTCGGCCGCTGTAGTGCCGGTTGTGTCGACTGTCACTATGGGAGTGGTGGTGTCCACGATGATGAGGAGGATGATGAGTGTGCTGGTTGGGCTGTCCTCGGCCGGTGCCCCATGGGGTCCGCAACACCTGACAATGATTTTATCAAGCAAACATTTAGACAAAAACTAGACAGCCTGATGAAGATAACTGGAGATGCACGTAACTCATTGTAGAAAGGTAAGTAGAGGAGTAACATGATCTTCCATGTCTACAGGTGCATAAATGAAATTAGATTAAGCAGAGCTTGGTGTCATACTTGCTCCAGGGGTAGGTGGTTGGTGGCAGCACCCTCAGCTCCACTCCGCCTCTTAGGCCCCTGCCCTGTGCTCCCAGCATGCTCGGATGAGGGAGCTAGGTTGCGTTTGGAGCGCTGCAGGAAACGAGCCACCAGAACTCGAGTCACCTGAAGGAAAAGAGAAAAGATCAGTGTAGGGGTGACAGAAATAGGGCAAACAAACAGCAGTCCAGCTGTTGCTAAGAAACACATGGGAACTGTCAAGTTCCGTTAACCCTGTCTTTTCAAGACTTGCCTTAAGGTCTCCGAGGGAACGGTGGCAGTCTTTAGGTAAACGCAGCGGCGATGTGGGTGGGGGTTTGGCGGGGACTTGCACCCCCGTGGCTGCTGATTTCATGCTGCCTTTCCTTGGCAAAGCTGCAGCAGGAGGCAAAGACGTGCGGGGCAACAGACATGCCTCAGACGATGGACCTTTGGAGACAGAAAAAAGAAAAACGGAGAAAGCTTTTTACGCTCAGTAGACAGTATTTACCACTTCCATATCTGGCATAGCCGTGGGTGTGCTTTATATATATATATATACATATATATATATATATATATGATAATAAGACAGCTTGTTGTCATGCTGTGTGTGTGTTGCAATATAATATTCAGTTCGTAAAATGTAGGCTAATGAATATAGGCTACTTAAAATCTTAAAGATACAGACATGTAGAGTAATTCATGCAGTGAAGCCCCTTAACCATGGCTTATCTTTACCAAGTGTCAGCAAACATTCATAAATCAGACCATCTGAAAATAATGTAAACGAGGAGCTGGTGAATCACATTATTAGCGGAATCTAATTTATCAATCTGAAATCAAATCACTGTTAATTTAGATGTTGTGGAGGAGTTTCATGAATCACATCCACATGGGGACAGATTTGCATGTCTCCTCTGGTGCTTAAATCTACACTAGACTCTAATAATGTTTGATAAATGATGGCCATTAGCTGCTGAGATATATCTCATCAAAACAACATAGATGTGTTCTCTTTCAGACCAGTCAGACACCTGTACACCACATCTTAAAGCCCTTTATATAAAAGCTTTTACCTGTATCTATAGAAGCTTTGCTGTCTCCAGAAACAAAGTCAACTAGAGAAGAGGGGACAAAAGGACAAGTTATGGAAACTGTAAAACTAAAGTTAAGAAATTTTCACCTTGGCGTCTGAATCACCTGTATCAGTCGAGGAGCCGAGGCCCGGCTCACTGTGTGACCTTACCAGGCGTAGCAGCCCTTCACTATCCCCTCTTACACCCTCTCCATCCTTCTCACTCTTCCCTGCCGTTCGTCGAAGGTACAGTGACTGATGTGGAAGGGGCGGCCCACCGCCCTGACCACCGCCCTGCTCACTGGCAGCTGAGGAGGATGAAGCTGGAGCAGCAGAGGAGGTTGGAGCAGTTCCTTGGTGTGAGGGAGTGGAGGGGCGAACGCGAATCTCTGGGATGGAGGATCGCTGTTGAGAAGTGGAGCTCCCTATCGCTTCAAGCTGGGAACAGCTACTAGCTAGCATGGCCTGGCGACGCAAGACTGGAGACCTGGAGCACGACACAGGAGAACTCAGAATATGTGTGTACTAGTTACAGGCTTAAGTGTGGATTTGATTTTAACTTAAAAATTAGCTTACAGCCCAATCATTTTGCACTATGATGAGTAAAAAAACACCATACACCACCATGTCTATGCCCTCACCTGTATGTGGTGGTGGCTGTGCTGGGAGAAGAGCAGGAGTTGGACCTCTCTCCTCTGAGGAAGCGCCTGGCTCTCGGTCCTCCTGCCAGAGGACTCTCTGGTGTTTGAGACTGAGGACCACGGAAGCTGAAGTACTCCCCTCCATCTCCCCCATCTCCCCCCTCACCAGCTGTCCTGTTGCCCCTCTCCCCGTGGTGCCTTAGCCCAACCTCCATCAGACAGGAGTCCTCAGATGGGGAGGAATCATCAGGGATGTCCACAATCTCTGACATCAACAGAGATCCACTGTCCATGGACACTGGTAAATATGAAATGGTAATCTGTTATTATGAAGACCAGGATCTATGTATGTTATCTGAAGCGTATACCTCTGTGTGACAGGTAAAGTCCTTGTGTATGCTGAGTTTCCTTCATTTCATTGACTTTGTATACTCCGTTAAAGTCAGCAACTTACTCTGATCATTTGTCTGAATTGATTAGACAAGTTTTTAGATTATGTTATTTTTTCTGGGCTATGTTTATTGTGTTTTTATCATCAGATTTGATCTCATTTAGACAATTAGTGAACTTTTAGTCTTTTTTTGGAGTTTACATTTAAATATGAACATTTTGCCCCAATGAATTAAATCAGGGTTGCAATGAACACTTATTTTCATTAGCAACTGTTCTATTATACGATAATCAATTGATCATTTAGTATATAAAATGTCAGAAATGGGGAGAAAATATAGCTAGATTGTACAAATCTAAAGGCCTCTACTGTTTTCTTTTTTTTTTTTACCAAGACTTCAATAGTCAAAGAAATATTAAATTGGCATTTATATAAAAAAGATAAGAGCTTTTAATATTCACTATTATGATATTATTGATTCACTGTTAATCAGCTAATCGTTGAATTTAAATGTAACATTACCAACATTACCAACATTGCCACTGACTCCTGTCAACTAGTACAGGTGAACCTGTCACGATGTGATGTTTTCTCACCTTCTCCACTGAAGGCAGTAGAAGTTCCTCTCTCTCCAGACAGCTCAGTGCCGTGGGGGTCAAACATTGTTGCCTTAGCAGTCACAATAGAGAAGGATCAGCATGATCACTAGGTGCATCACACAGAACAAACAAACAAACAAACAAACACACACACACAGACACACACACACACACACACACACACACACACACACACACACACACACACGCTCACCTGGCTGACAGCTCTTTGTCCCATCACAGCTTCATAAGGAGGGGGGCAGTCAGTAGGGTACAGAGGAACAGGGCTCTCCATCGAGCCATTATAGGTGATGCTGGACATTAATACAAAAATAATCATCTTACACTCTGTTATCCAGGATGCTGATGCATATTAAAACACTGAAAGCGCCTGCTCTATGTTTGTTACCTCTGAGCGTCTGTCTCAGAGCTGCAGGTGTACTCAGGCGGATAGTAGGGAGGCGGAGGGATGGGTGGGACAAACTCCTCAAAGTCCATGATGTTGGTCAGGAAGGCATCCTGAGGAGTGGTGCATTCTGGGTTGACTGACCGAGAGCGATGGGGGGCCAGCTAGGCAGGGAGAATAGGAAACACAGCATCGTCCAACAGATAGATGGTTATAGGCTGTAACATTCGTACAAAGTGTTTTTAAAATGTGAACCCTGAATTTCTTAAGGCAGCAGTATAGCTGAATTTCAAAGTACTTCAATGTAAAAAACAAACAAAGAACTGCTAGTCTGGTAAATGTAAAATGTGCTGTGTCTGTACTCACCAGGTGCACAAGGTCCAGGGAGAAAATGTGAATACTGCAGGTAACAGTGGACAAAGTACAGATGATGGTGGAGAGAATGCTGAGACCACAAGCACTGAACAAAAGGTCCTGCAGAGAAGTATGCATTCAGAAAAATCACAACTCCACAATAAATCAGCATTTTATTTGTAGTAGAGCATATGTCATATTTAATGGTTAACTTGGGCAATAAATTGATAATCCGGGTCTAGATACACATCCTACCCACCTTCAGCTGATGTCTGACTGAGTGGCAGTCAGCATTCAGGTAGAGGACCAGGTTCTCCTCCTCTGTGATGGAGCAGGTGTGAGGGGGCACGCAACACACACACAGACCATTCTCCACCTACACACATTCCCATACACAGAGGATTGGTGTGAAGTACTCATCTGCACACTAAAAACATATTCACTCAAAACAAAAAACTATTTCTGGCACGCTCCCCGTGCATCTGGCTATAAGGGCATTTCAGCATGAGGCAGCAGACAACACTTGCATAATGTTGTGTACCTGGCAGGTGAGCATAGATTTGACCATCTGTGCATTCTGACAGGAGAGCATTGAGCCGGCCAAACTGAGGATCACACACACTGCAGATAGCAGCATGAACAGTGACACCTGTGGAGGAGCACAGAGATATGATATACAGCAGGGTGTTAAACCTGTGCCATACAGTCCTGATTGTATGTAGAGTTTTGTTCTTCTAACTAAAGACTACAGCCTGTAATTCCACTGAAAAACACACCGTCAGCCAGAGAGGTGTTTCAAAGGTCAAGAATAAACTCTGAACCTCAGTTTTTCACAGTCGTCAAAGTTGCCAGATAAATTGGACATCTACAACTGGACAGACTCCATCTGCTGATGACGATCAGCTACTAAACTGAGCTTGTCGTGAAATTGGTTTCTCAGCTTTTCTCTTCAGTTCTTATCATTCTTGAATGGTGCCTCCTTCAAATGGGTAAATATGTCAAATCACCACAACCTGGTTGAAAAACAGTGAACCTGGGCTTCTACGGCCCCTGGAGGTCTGGGGCCCTGGGGTACTCTTTGCCGTGTTGGTAATCCAGCCTTGCTCCATGGCACACAGTTCTACACTTATAGCTTAGAGACTTGAACGCTCCTTTTATCAGATGGAAATGTACATACCACCAGTGTCAAAGGTCTCCTCCATGAGATTATCCCAACTATTCCTGATGCCACCACCTGGTAACAAACACCACATAGACAAGAAGACACACACTTTAAGATCTCTTGTTTCATTCTTAACGCTGTATGTTGATGTCAGATTTACACTTACAAAGAAGCCAGCCCAGAATGGACAGGACTGCCTCACGCGAGCTGAGGAGGTGAAGGCCATGCTGGTGAAAGAGAAGGCCAGGACCATGGCCCCTAGGCCCAGGTGGCAAAGCCCCAGGTACAGGAGCAGCCGTGCACCACCAGGACCCCGGCCCGACATGCCCCTGCGGCTGTCTGACCAGCCTCGAGACCCCGAGGCAGAGGCCACGCTGCTGGAGTCTGACGGTGAAGGCATGATAGGCTCGTCTGTGAGCGGAGGAGGCCGGGAGAGGTTTCACACTCACTCTGGGTTCGTAAAAAAAAGTTTGGTTGTGTGGGTAGAAGCACAGGAGAGTAGAAGAGGGAGAGACATAAATGCTGGCTTCAGAGCTCCACTCTGTCACAATTATGCACCAAGCTCTCCACTGGCAGGTGCCATAGGTGCTGCGCAGTGCTCCATGGTGTGTGCACTATAGTCCAGTCAGTGAGTCCAAGAACTTTGTCAGCAGAAAGTTGAGAAATGAGCAGCTGCTACACACTCACAGCCACCTTACTCGCCTCATTTGACATTTCAGCCATGATACTAATGTTGCTTGAGTCAATACAGTGTCTCTTACACGCCGTGCAGTTCACAGGCCATTATAGCTTATAGAGTACAGTCTATACCATTCTCCTACTTCTCTGATTATAACAGTCACACAAACTGAGCTAGTTTTTTTCCCCAGTCTTCACATCATATACTCATTTGCTTTTTGCTGCTCTCTCCTCTTCGTCTTCTGCCGTCCACCTCTCCCTCCTCTCGCCAGTGGCATTGCGGTAACTGGAGACCGGAGCAGGCCGCAAATTCTGAAGCATCCCAAAGAAAACCCAGCTGATCAGCAGCGATGACATGAGCCGGTCATTCCGTGGTCTGTCCACTCAGGAGGAGCTAATGTGAGCTCCCGCGACCTTATGTTAGGTCCTCATCCAGTCACCGACAAGAGGAGGGGGAAAAAAAAAGACAGTGTGGAGATCAAAAGCCCCAAGATCACATCGGGTTCGTTCGGGAAGCGGGACTAATTACCTCGACATGAACAGGAAATAAATATCCTACATCGATTTTCAAACTGCACCAAAAATAGCAGCAGGGCTGGGATGAATCTTTCCTCGCGGGTTTCGATCTTTGACAACTCCACCTCGGGGGTTTTGCGGTCCACACACACGCCCCTAGACCCCCCCCGCCCCCTCCTCCTCCTCCTCCTCCTCCTCCTCCTCGGCCTCGTTCCTCCCTGCAGTCACGCGGGCATCCCGTTCAGCCCGTGTGTTTGTGTCTGTGTGTACATGTATCCCGGACGTTTACCTCACTGCCTCCCACCAAACGTCACATGAACATAACAACATAGCCAAGAGCCTACCTATGCCCGGGATAACATGTTGAAATCCTTCCACGTTTATCTTTAATTCTTCCTTTCACTCGCCCCTCCCTCTGCTGCCCTCACGCCTCTCCTCTGTTCCCCGGTGCAGCTCTGACACTCAAAGAGGAATGTATCGTGTTTGCAAACCGAAACCAGCCCGACGTGATGACAAGGCACGCAAAACGTGCAGGCAACTTGAAGATGCGGCAGAACGCGCGCACACCGTTGTGGTGCTGATGCTTGGAAGGAGGGGCGGTTGCCTAGCGACAGACTCCAGTTCCTGCTGCTGCAGCAACGAGGGGGAAAGAAAACATCACTGTACTGGCCGATGTACTGGGAGGATAGTAGTTAAAAAGAAGGCGAGGAGGGTTCAATTAGTGTCCCATAGGTGCCTGGTCTAATCCATATATGTCAACAAACAGATTGGAGCCATAAAGGGTTCGTAAGCTACATGGCTCTGTTACTGGTAAATACATAATATATTACTGCTTTATAGATCAATTTTTAGCCATTAAAGATAACAACTCTTGGGTTGCCAGGTTATGAAAAATCCACCTCCATAATGACATATATGTCTTTTTTGCTCGATTTTTATAGATCAAAATCCATTGATAAACTGCTTGACTTGACTCCACACAAGAGAAAAAAAAAAAAAAAATCTAGGAACAAGTGGCATATAATATTAGTGGCATAGTTATTGTGCCAACACAAACCACAACACACATCTCATGTTTACAGTTTTGCATTTTTATTCAGCAAGTGACAAAATCTTGTGGCAGGACTAAAAATACACTGAATGTGAAAGAAACTTGTTACAGGAAATAGTATATCTGGGCAGAAAAAAAAACTGTCAGGATCAGATGAGCACCTGTAATCAGAGTCATTTTGAATGATCTGAAAATTTCCTGAAGAGGAAGACTGTCAAGTCTGATGTAGCTAATGTGTGGTAGTGTTTAGTCAGAGATTTACCAGGCACTTCAGATAAAAGGCAAGATCCACTAAATCAATTCCAAATGAGGGACAGATGAGCACCACTGCTTCCCAGCCTCTCACATCCTGTCTATTCACTTGCTTTATCCATCATTCTTTTATCTCTCTACTCATCCTCTCATATTGCACTTATCTCAGTTTCCATCCTCCACATTCTCAATCCCTTCATCTATTAAAACAAAGTGTTCGCTTCAGCCTCAACAAACAACCGACATCAACTTGTTTAAATCATTAACGCAAAGAGCATGTTTTCAATTTCTTATAGGATGTAACAATGAAATTTCTATGTCATGCACTCAGTGTGTTCAGAGTCAACTGGGGCTGTAGATTTTGTAGAATGCATCATAACAGCATTATAATAATGCTGTGCACTATTCAAACATCTCATCAATTCTCAACGGATATGCACAAAATAACCATAATGGAATGTAAATATAACTTCAGCCAACATTTAAAGCTCAATGTTCAGGTCATGACATCTATTTGTTAAGGTATTTATGAGCCACTAAAAATGCTGAGAAGCAAAATATGTCCTCTGTTTCTCATATGGCACTTAAGGAATGGGATGTCTACCTCTCTGTGCTCTTGTAATATTATACAAACCATCTGAATTTGAAACAGTCAACTGACAAAAAATTGAAATTGCATTGCCAAACAAAGGTGTTTCACGACTTATTGTTCAATGATTTTAGCATTTCCATCTAATTTCCATCTAATAGAATCATTTAAATGCCCGTGGCCCCGTGAATTTAATGACATTTTGGGCAAAAGACTACAACCAGGAGCCTGCTGTGTGAACTGTATGTAATGAATCAAAACACTTTATAACAAACTCTTCCTCTGCCACTGAACTACTAAAAGCTATTACTGCATGTGCTCACACTTACGCGGTGAATGAAATGGTTCCATTAAGCTGAAGTTTGTTTTTTGTTTGTTTTACTAAAGAGCTACCCAGTCCAGAAAAGACTTTTAAAACACAGCTGAAGTTCTTCCAAGTCATTAAACAGTGGTGATGTAGGGTTCATAATGTGATGATAAGCTAAAGAAATACAGGGTGAGAAATAGAAATGTACAACCGTACTAAACATTGTGGGGACTGGTTTTTGAATTTGCATCAGGGCTCAGTTTAGGGCCATTGAAGACTCCACTTCACCAACTCTTCACGACTTTTACACACAGTAGAATTCGCAAAAAATATGTTCCATGTGTAATACAGGCACTATCTCAAAGGAGTAATCTATAAATAATTTTTTATGGCAAATTCTTGGAGAACAAAAGTACAAACTCTTGTAAAGGGAGTATCAATTGTTTAGCTATAAAAGCACTTTTTGCACCTGTGTGTATTTGACTTTTAAGTCCACCAGATGGAGACAGAAAACATGTTGCACTGTATTCCTCCAGTAATACTGGTGTGTTCTTAAATCTGTATTTGTATGGCATTATCGTCTGTGTGCTAACTGGCACATCTAGAGAAGAACACACTTGGAGGTTTTTTTCTCTGTGCTGCTGGTGATCTTCACCTCTCGCCCTGTGGGGCCCTGCCAGACGAGGAAAAACAGACAAAGAAAAAGAAATTACACACACAAGCAGTATAACATACATCTCTAATCCCATGTTTATGGAGGAACAAAAGCTTCAGTTTGGTGTTATTTGGTATAACAAGTCCATTCTGACTCACTGGTTTCTTGCTGGATTTCTGTAGTATGTCACGTGCCAAAGCCAGAAAAGACTAAAGAAAACAAAAAGATAAGATGAATGAGAGAAAATGAAAGTCAATGTCTGCAGCATATGTATACTATCATAACAAAAGCAGCTTAATGAAGTGTCAAGACAGTGTTTTGTTAGTCTGTGGTTTTCTTTCCGGCTCACCTCCTCGACATTAATGCTGGACTTTGCACTGGTCTCGAAGAACCTGATGCCATGATCCTTAGCCAGCTGTCAACCACAGACACGGAACTGGTTACAGGTCAGGATATGAGTGATCATAACTTACTGCTTCTTATCTAAAGTCAATTCAAAGCTGGCATATTAAGAATGTGACATACGCTGTCCCTTCCTCAAATAATCACCACCTTGTATAAAGTTAAAAGAGACTCCATATTAATAATCTGTTGTTTCATTTCTATTGTTTCTTTCTCACAATTAAACTACAGCAGCTCTTCATTCTTCCATCCATCTACCCACTATTCTGAATGACAGTACTTTCTCAATACTGATACTTCAAAATTACACTTACAGCTTACAACATATGGGCTGTAATTACATCGCTGTGAATGTTGTCTCACCTTTTCTCCTGTCTCCTTGGAAACTTTCCGCTTCGCCTCAATGTCACACTTATTACCTAGCAACATCCGACTGACCCCAGCTGATGCATTCTGGGAAAGAGGGAACGCAATTAATTGATTAGGGCAAGTTGAGTTGGGGTGTACTTAGGTAAAGGTGCTTGCTTGGCGGCAGACACAGATAAAGAGATTAAAGGGAATGGAGAGCAGAAATCTTAACATGAAAGTCTGAACTGAACAACCAGAGTGATCTGCACTTGAGAGGAAATAACAGCAGCTGCTTGCAGCAGGAGAGCGGTCTCTGCGGTCACTGAAAGTATCAGATAAGATGTTTCATTAAAAATAAATAAAAGTAGGGCATATGTGGACGCTGACTGTGGGTCTGTATTCACAGTAATCGTAAGTCGTTGATTTTAACGTCCATTTTATGAGATTGTGTGAAGGTGTTTTACTACGCAGTGTGCATTCTTTATATGAATACTTTCATATTTTCCTCACATTATGTCCTGGTGTGTCCAACAAATGAAATAGTAGTAAATGAAATACTACATTGTCTCAAAAAAAACCTACCTTGCCAGTGGAAAGATTGGCTCACTTGGTGGTATTTAGCCATGTTTTGATTTGATCTGTTTAGGTTTAGGTTTAGTCCTATTGATAGATGAATAAGATAAAAATAAAAAATAAAAACTCCTGCAATTAGACAATCATCAGGTAAAACTATTTTTCACTGTGGACAGTTTTCGCTCGGGCTATGTCTTCAGTAGAAAGAAGCTTAAGGGCTGGAATATGTTTTGTGTGATTTGGATGTACTGACCCTTTAAAATCACCAGTTGTGCAATGACCCTAGCTTTGTTGTTGCAGTGAGTAAAGACCCATACTCATGACTAATATGGCTCCCACTGACTATGCACTGTTTTTAAGTATTTCCTGCTTGCCTTTGTCATGGTTAAGTGGAAACAGACTCACTTCTTTGATGCTCTTCATCCAGTTCTGAATGTTTTCGAAGGACTTCTCGTCTGTGATGTCGTACACCAGGATGATGCCCTGACACACAGAGACGAGAGAGGGGGGAGAGGGGAGAGTCAGTCAAAGGTACAGAGCCAACACAAAGGGGCAGTGATGTCAGCCTGATTATCCAGTCTGCTTGTTCTGCAGGCGTCCTGTGCTCACCATGGCCCCTCTGTAGTAGGCTGTTGTAATGGTCTTGAACCTCTCCTGCCCTGCTGTGTCCCTGCACAAAGCAACACACATTCAAAGTCAAAAAATGTGCACTGATGCGTGCGTACCTCGCAAAAGACTCAAAAACACAACAGTAGTTAAGAGAAAGTTGTGAGAGATGTAGAAAAATGCAGAGTGATGCATTTAATGTGCATTTTACACTGAATTTAAATGTCGCTGTAACAACACCCTCACATGACATGAAGTGGCACTCTGGACAATAAACCCTGTCATAAAATCCTGATTTGGAGAACAAGAGGGAGGTTCCTCTTTCCTCTCAGGAAAATGAGAGAGGCAGGCAGAAAACAGACGAACATGACTCAGTGTATCAGCTTGTTCTGCTTCCACCAAATCACAGAACAACTCCAGAAAGCAACCGTCTGTCACCTCTTACCAGACTTGTAGTTTCACTTTCTTTCCGTCCACTTCAATGGTTTTCACTTTAAAGTCGATGCCTGAGAGATAACAAGAGGACAGGAAAGAGCGTAGAGGAGGAGGAGGGGGGCAGAGAATGAGTTAAATACCTCAGATATGAACTAAAAACACACCCACCCAGGCACACACACAAATTGCAGAATATATAGGTCACCCTCACTTGGATGGGGACTGATTCATGGTCATTTTCACTGTGATTTTGACCCCTCAGTGCACTCCTGTCCACTGACAGACATAAAGGAAAGATGTACAGGCCTGAGGGATGCACTGTCTGTGAGTTATGTTTTCTTTTTCTTTTCTTTTTTTGTCCTGCTGGATGCACAAGCTGACAGACAGACAGACAGTAAGGGGCAGAGGAGGAGGGGGGCTGTCCTGTGCAAAAACTGAGCATGCCAGAAAGCCAACCATTCTTCTGGGAACGTAGAGATGGTAAAAGAGATAGGAATGAGGGTGGGTGGACCTTCTGAGAGCCAAGTGAGAGGAATGAGATCTGAGAGAGAGATCGGAGAGAGGGTCAGGGAAGACACAGCACACACATTCAACAAACAGGAAAAAAAAGAGAGATAAAAGACAGAATGAATATAAGAACAAATAAGAGAGCACAGACTAGTTGAGACATGAAAGCAGTCGGACAAACCAGTTTGTGCAGTGCCGGGCATCACATAGAGGAAGAATGAAATGTCAGCAAACATTTGTCCTGCTCACATCCCAGGTTTCAGACAGGCCAATCATAAGCTGCTGCAGAAATGTCGTATAGGTTATAAGGCAAACATTACACTGTAACAACGTACCGATGGTGGAAATGTACGTGGAGTTGAAATTGTCCTCAGCGAAACGAATGATCAGACATGTTTTCCCCACTCCGCTGTCCCCGATGAGTAACAATTTGAAAAGGAAATCATACTTTTTCGCCATGGTTGGAGCTGTTCTTCAAAGTTAAAGCAGAACTCAAAAGGGGATAAGTTGGAGTTGTCCCTCTATAAAAGATCCTTTTCATCGACTTACGCTTTAAATCTTGATTTCTTTCCTTATGATTCAAAACAAACAGGTTTTTAAAAAATGTTACGCCATGTAACGAGTGGATCAACTTTTCCTTTTTTCCTCGCAGACTTGTCACCGGTAAATTCCGATCCCCCTCAGTGCTTCTGGATAGAGTGAGCTGGATAAAGAAATACACTCCATCCAAAGTTAAACTATCTACTGCAGATCAGCCTTCATCATCAAATCTATTCGAGGTGCATTTTACAGTCCTCCGACAGTCAGTATCACTCCATTTACAAACATACCGGGGTGGCTACGTGTTTTTTCAGCCTCCAAAAAAAACTTGCTGTCGGCCCAGATCCCAGATCCGCTGAAAGGCTACGTAGTGTGGGAGTGCTTCATGGGAGTTAATGGCACAGACCTGCGGACACCCAGTATGATCACTAGATGGCGCCGTTTAATCAGAAGTTGTATAACTATAGCACACCTGAGGGGACGTGAAAAACTATGTCTATCTACAGAGACCTCACAAAGTGAATTGTAGATTCATAAATGATCAAAAATTATGCAAGCAAAATAAATAAATAAAATCATCCTTGTAAGGAATTTGTGTGGTAATGTTTGATGCATCCTCCTCTTTTTCTTTTCTTCTTCTTTCTCTTCTCTTCTTTAGATGAAACGCATCATGAAGCGGATTGAGTTTTCTCCTTGATATGAAATATGGCATAGTAGGCTATATAATAGTAGAATATAAATGTGCTAGATAAATAACCCTTGCCTTGCCTATCAGAATATCTACAAAAAATGCCACCGCATTGACATCATTAATATGTATATGTGTGATTTGTTTAGGCCCTCCACCATCATCCATCCATCATTCAATTGCAGAGTGGCAGTGCCAACATTTCAGCAGTTTCACTACAACCTGTGCCACCCTCAGGCAAGAATAAACAATACAAACAGAAGTTTGACACTGATTCCCCCAAATTGGCAATGGGAGTTATCTGCAGTTTTCCGTCTAAGAAGTAAGATGAAGAAGTAAATGTGTTTGTTGTTTGTGTTTTTCACTCCACTCACATATAAAAATAGAATAAAACAAATTGACTTAAAAATAAGTCTTTGATGGCTGTAATTGGTGTTACATAACCAGACATTTAATTAATTAGGCCCATGGCATCTCATTTCATAATAGGTTAGATTAACAACCAGGAAAAGCTGGCAACTGCCCAAGGGCCACAGCCCCAGAAGCCCCATATTTACTCCAAACCATTTGGGTCTCCATAATTTGATTGATTGCAAATTTGTTGGTAATTTGCACCATTAAAGTACTACAATATCACAGGTCCTATGATTTTAGTTTTGACACCTGCAGTGTGGCCGTTTGTAAAGTTATGTTTTATGAAATTGCTTTCATTTTTCCTGTGTGCCAAGTAATTAACACAAAAAAAAAAACTCAAGCAAAGTGTTATTATTCCTTCATGGAAGTAGCTACTGTAAGGCTGCAACCAAGAATTACTTTCATTATCAATACATCTGACATTTTTTTCCTTTAATAACGGATTGATTGCTCAATAAATAAAATGTCAGGAAATAATGAAAAACATCCATCATTATTCCCTACCCCCGAAGTTAACTTTTTCTTGTTTTTTTCTAACCAGCTATAGTAAACCCATGATGTTGAGTTTACTGTCATGTTTGAGAAGCAGCGAATTTTAATCATTTTATTTAACAGATTAACCAAAATAGCTAATGTTCTGTCAATCAACTAATTGATTAATCAACTAATGATTTCAGCTTTCGAGTAGGCTATTGATTGGTTTCTGGGTGCCTGAGTCAATAGAAAATTACGTTATTGTGTAGTTGGAGGTTAACATATTAATACAAATATGTTAAATTGTATCTTATATAAAAAACATAAACACACACAAATACCAACAAAAAAACCCAAAAGTCATTAAATTTTTTTAGTAGGTTTTTCTTCCTCCGGATCTTTACGTAACAGTTTCCGGTACGTAGCTAAAGAAAGATTTCTATTTCCGGTGAGCGTCCACACGCGCAGACATGCCTGTAAGTAACGCCACAGTTTCTATCATTGCCATCAGTCATTTAAGAAGTATTTTGACGAGAACAATTTAATGTAAAATTGTGTTTTATTTATGTGCAAGTCAACGTGTCGATGTCGCGGTAACGCAAATGCAAAGATCTGAAAACAGACGCAAAATGGCGAAACACGTGGATAACAAAGCAGCACACGCTGCTCCCTCCGAGCAAACTTAAATCAGATTCTATGATTTCACACCGACATCAAGATCATTACAGGTTAAACTCGTTTTGTGGTTTCATTTATTAATAACACAATGTGTGTGTTTGATAATTTTCTGCGATGGTTGTGGCTGTTCCGCGTTTTTCGCGTCCTTTCTCTTTTACTTTCTCATGACGTCTCATTTCAAATCTGCAAAGATATCTCGACCTTTACCCTCCTGTTAACATGCCTGAAAGTTTCTACACTGTGACTTTCTGGAAAAACTTAAAATATTAATACTGATTATTATGTTTGTGATTTACTTTCAGCTCGCAAAGGATTTGTTGCACCCAACCCCCGAGGAGGAAAAGAGGAGACACAAGAAAAAGCGTCTTGTCCAGAGTCCCAATTCATATTTTATGGATGTCAAATGTCCAGGTCAGTTTGTTTATGTAGCAGCCTGCCCAGATCCTCGGATTCAGATAATACAGTGCAGCATTAGATAAACAGAGAAGAAAACAGCTGTTGAATAACCCAAGTACATTCACTCAAGTGCTGTGCTTACTTTAAGTTTGGTATTAAAGTGGTAATTTACTAACACGTTTCCCTTCTGTAAGATTTTACTTATTTATATTTTGGGGGTAAGTGTACTTTTATACCATCCCGCAAGAGTAAAAGGTAATGGAAAATATTAGACACAATAGTAACAGTTTTAGTGTTGCAACTAAGTTATTTTTATGATGATTAATCTCAGCTTTTTTTTTTTTAAATTGATTTTCTTGTCAGGAAATACTGAAATGTGAACTTCCCTTTTTCTCAGAGTCCAAGATGACGTTTTCAAATGTCGTGTTTTGTCGACAGTCCACACTGCACAGAGATTCAGTTTTTAGTATCATGTAAAACAGAAAAATAAAGAAGTCTTTACATTTGTGAGACTGAAAACAGCATTTTTTTTGCCATATTTTAAATTAATAATTACTTTAATAAATGAGTTATGTAGATAGTTTCTGATTAATTTTTCTATTGGTTGATAAACTAATTGTTGCAGCTCTTAAGTATTTCTAAGCAATACTTATAGCTTTCATATTTGAGTAAATTTTTTGAAACATAAATGTAAACACTAAATGCACGACTTGTTTTTTATTGTAGAGTAATTTAATTGTGATTTTAAAGATTTTATCTAAAGGAAAGTAAAGATTTTGAGTACTTCCCCTACATCTACATTTCATTATACAGTTGCAATCAGACATATTCAATTCCCCTCACACTAGAAGGTATTATGGTGTTGTGTATAGAATTTAATGAAAATATACAATAAGTTTTGGTAAACAGAGCAAGAATATTTATTGATACATACAAGCATTTGTGATAACATAAGTTGACATAGATTTGAGTTTAAATGAAAAACATTTAATTCTCTTGACAAATGTCCATGTGAACAGTGATTCAGCCCCTGACTTCTGTACTTGTTAGAGCATCCTTTTGCTTTGATAACTTTAATAAGCGATTTCAGAAAGTGCTGACAAGCTTCTGACACCTCATGGAATCTTTACACATTCTTCTCATGAAGAAGGTTCCCGCTCATTGAGGTTTTATGGCAGCTGCTTTTTTTTTTTTTTTTAATCCATCAAAGATTTTCTATGGGATTTAAATCTGGAGACTGAGAAGGCCACTCTGATATTCCACAACTGATGCCTTAACCAGGGATCATTATTTTGCTTTAGAGTCCAATAATCACCACAGTTCAAGTTCACCTCAGAGGGCATAACATTCCTCCTCAAAATAGCGTATGAGTATTTCTGTGAATCCATGATGCAAGTGGCATTCAAGTCGCCCCACCTTCACGCTTGACTGTGGGGACAGTATTCTTCCTGATGAGATGGCTAAGGCCTCTTGATGAAATATTGGGCTTTCTGTGCAATAAGTTTTGAACTTCTGTACAATGCTCCTAATTGCGACTCTAGGAATGGTGAAGATCTTGGAAATTGTCTCACACCCATTGCCTTTTAGGTGCAATATAATAATCATCTCTCTCACCTTTTGTGACAGCTACTTATTCTTCACCATGGTTGCAACACACCTTGAACACATCCCTGGGTGGTGCTTATACAAACACATTGCAGCTGAAGCAAATAAAGGGTCATTTTTAAGTTCCCAGTGGGTTAATTCAGGTCATACAGACTCGTAATTGGTTAGTAAAATCAGCAATTTTATATTGGGGTTGAATAATTGTGACATGGCATTAACAGCATACCTTGCTACTCTAAAATACCACATCACTTTATTTGTTCATTTGATGTATCATTCAACTGATAAAGACAAAAGCTAAATCCACCTCTGCAGGAAAGTACCTATTTCATAAGTGTATAAATACTTACTTTCTTTGGGGGAATCAATATTTCCAATTGCAATTGTAGAAAGACTTGCCTTTATGTGTTGCCCTTTCATTGTTCCCTTAGTGATCGGGGTGTCAAATAAGGCATACAATGACACTTGTGGTTGTCTGTGAAATGAGCTTCAAGTGACTCATTTACACAAACAGCTGCAAGGACACAGCAGAGCTCAGAGTACATTTGATTATGCAATGGTTGTTAAGTGTTTGACAGTGGGCTGTTGTTTTGTTTTTTTTTGTGTAGCTGTTTTATGTTATCCCATTAAATGATTTGTGTGTTTATGTGCTGTTTGCAGGCTGTTACAAGATCACCACAGTATTCAGTCACGCTCAGACTGTAGTGCTGTGTGTCGGCTGTTCCACAGTCCTCTGCCAGCCTACAGGAGGGAAGGCTCGACTGACAGAAGGTACGGGACACTGTTAAATCCAACATGCGTGCTGAAGAAAACTTGTTACCTTTGCATCTTAAATATGTGTTGCAATGCACATCCACATATAAAAACTCATGCCTACAGATAAATGTGTCATGTGTCAGTATGGAGTTTTCTATGATCTATTTTTGTGCAAGTGTTACACATGCTTGAATAATTGATCATTGAGTAATTGCGAGTGTGGGGTACTTTTAACACTGCATGACAGAAGTCATCACATGTCCTAGTACAGTAGAGTTCTGCATGGGCCTGAACCCGCCTCATATTCATAAGTCCCAACCTCCCAGCATCCAACTGAATCCACATCTGGTGTCACATTTGAGACCTGAACCTACCCAAAGCTATATTTTTGCTTTATTCCATCTATTACTGTTATCTCACCAGGCTAATGCAGCATAAGTGCCAGCAACACGCCAGGCGGATACCTGGCCTGAGACCCCAGAGGCCTGAAAACAATCTGGTCCTCTGCACGTTTTAACTGCAAATATCAACATAAATATCATCAACACATGCATCATTTTCTCATCTTGTGACCCTGTATTGTAAAGTGGCCCTTCTTTAAAATCTTATTTTAACGCCTTAATCATTGTAAAACTTAATTGTACGCGCATAGTGAATATTCTTAAATAAAGGGGTGTTCCGTCAAGTAGCCACAAACTGAGATGCAGAAAACCTGGTGGTATTTAAGCATAAATAAAGTATAGTGATGGGTCTCTGGGTGCAGCAGTTGTTTTGGCTCAGTCAGAAGGACAAAAACAGAAATTGATTAATAAAATTACATTTGAAAATTATCGTAGCTGAACCTCACCCAAGCCCAAAGCAAACAAAAGCACAGCAAAATGTTCCAAAACTCAATATTTTGTCTGGGCCTCTTGGGCTGGGGTCAGGTGGCAGAACTTCACTGTACAAAACATCTCTGAACTAACACCTGGATATTTGCCTTTGTGTTGCCCTTTCATTGTATTATTCATGAACAGGGTGTCAACTAAGGCATACAGTGACTCTTGTGGTTGTGACAGAAATTTAATCATCACTGATCCATTTCTTCACAAACAACTGCAAGCACAAACTTACACACGCTTTTCCATTCACAAACATTTCTTTATACTTCTTCGAACAATTAATCAGGAAGTAGTTCCAGATAATCTGTCTCTTCTGATAAAAGTTCTGATATGAAATGATGAGAATTGCTTCACCACTGTGAAGAAATGTTCATGCACTGTGTACAGTACGTTAGTGAATTGGATGAGCTTTTAGGTCAAGGTTTCTTACCGACGTGCTCATTGTCCCACCCACTCTATCATCTGCTCTGCTGCCGTGGTAACCAAGGGCTTCTCAATGCACTCTGCTCTGAGTTACTATGGGTGCAGCTTTAACCCTTGGCACTAAAACCACTTTGGTGGTGATTCAGTCTGTGAAAGGGCAGAAAGCAGCATGAATTTTAGTGTTTTCTATATTGCACCCTTCTCAGTCAGTTTTATACACTCTTCCTGCTACATTGACAAGCTTTGTTACTGTTAATCCTTGCTAAATCTTGTTTGCAGTTACAATTACAGTGACAATTTGACAGTAAGCTGTTTAATAGGGACATGTAACTAAAATTGATCCACAATTCTCTGTTCCAGTTTCTGAAATGTCAGAAATTTTCACAATTTTCAGAAATTTTACAGGCAAAATTTATTCAGCTAGAAAATACTGAACAGATTCAATAATGAAAGTAAATTAGTTGCACCCTAATTGCATTGCCTTTTACTGAAAGGTTATTTTCTAATCTTAATTCGATCCTCATTTGCACAAACAGGATGCACAAAATATTAGTTACAGGACAGTCAGCAGCACCACTGTATTGTTTTTTTTTGTTAATATTATAGTTAATCAGTCTCTCTCTCTGCATCATCAGGCTGCTCATTCAGGAGGAAACAGCACTAGTTTGACCAGACGAGGCTGGACACCATCGAAGAAGAGAGAACACAACTTTATGCACAAGTTACACTGCCATGGAGCTGACGCAACAAACAGGGAATGGAGAGTGGGAATGCCAATAATGTCATACTATAAAAAGTCTATCTAAAAAAAAATTCTTGGCCCCTGTTTAATCCCACCAAGTACCACATAAATTCTTCTCTCTTAATAAACTTAGGTTGTTTTTTTTGTTAAAATAATCTTGTATCTTTGTCATCCAGTTTCTTGTTTTTAATCTCTTGAAGGTTCTTCGATGTCATTTGTCTGGTAAAGATCAGGGCGTTTGAGGACAGTGTGGCCTCAGTGGGTTTTTGCGTCTGTTTGCATTACACCCTTCAGTGATTAAGCACAAACATTTAGAGCAATGTGAGGGTATAAGATGAGCCTTGCAGATATTGCCCAGCAGTTGCTCAGCACCTTTGAAAACACTTAACCAGTTCCAGGAAAGGAGACATTGTGGCTGAAATTGCAAATTACATCCAACAATCTGTCCTCTGTTACAGCGTTTTATAATAAAAAAATTGCACTTTGCAAAGCTGAATATTGATATAAGACAGACATTAACAGATACTATATACCTATGCCAAGTGAAAGCCACAGTGAAGTCAACATTTTATTAAAAGGTAGACAGTGATTTTCTCAGTGCCTGCTCCAAAGTCAGTCTGAACGAGGGTTGATTCAGGAGAAAGTCATCTCCGGCTCTTCCTGTGTTTCCTGTTGCTTGTAAAACAAACACAGTGATGTGACACCAAATGGCATCACAATGAACATTGTGGTTGTGAATTTACTGCTTCTAAGCTTCCTGTGAAAATGATAATGTGGGATGAATTCTTGTCAAGTTGCAAAATAAAAAAACTCACTAGTTTAAGAATAGTGGGAATAGCTTGACGAATCAAACTAAGATTTGTGACCTACAGTTTATTCACAGCTTTTGTTTAAGGCTTGTGAGCATGTCGGCCATTTGCACAGTCTGTATGTGACAGCTTTGAGTTGTACTTTGAAAAGACAAATTAAATCAAGGGACGGAGTGATTCAATGATAGCTATCTTGTTGCTATGGTGACATTTTTCTTGTGTCTTGCTTGTACATTGGACACAGCTTACAAATAAAATCAAGGGAAATATAATTCTGATGTGCCTCCTGGTTACTGAATGACTAATACAAAAATAAATGATAATATAATTCTACATTCATTCATTTTTCACTGGTCTGCCACTTAAATCTCATTTACTCCATAGTCTCAAAGTGTTTTTAAGGGATTAACAGTTGCAGACAGCATTTCCACACATCCACTGCATGGTAAATAACTTACTGTATTTCACTGTATTCTGTTACACAGTCTCATGAAGCACCAGAATAGGAGCTGTGTTAGTTTGGACAGCTTTCAAAACTGAAACAGATTTATATTACCAGTATATGTACTAACAAGCAGACTTGCCAATAACAACCTATTTGATAGACAACAGGACAATTTCAGTAATCACCATGGGCTGAAAACCACGTTATTTGGACACACTAATAATGAGCTAATTTGATGCTTTGTTGCCTTTTCTACTGTAAACAGATGATTGCGGGAGAACCTCTGAAACTGACCTGTGGACGCCTGGCTCCCTGTAAGGTCACTGATTGTTTTGATGTCTGACTGCTGGATATAATTATACAGGTGGAGTGGAGACAGGGTCTGAACCCTGTCCAGTGAGGTTGTGACAGACAGCTCTATTTATGAGCTCTACTCTTAAGTATCAGGGCACACACATTACATCATCTGTGAAAATATAGCTAAGGGGAAGTATGGCCAATGTCCAAACATGATTTTTCAAAGCACATAGCCCAAAACTTATCAAAGTAAGTGTCTTTTGGTAATAATTTCTTTGGACTGTTCACATTTAATACCTGGTATTTATATGTTACTTAGAACCAATATGTTGACTGTAAAAGCTTTTGATTTTCATCCATTACGGCGTGTCTCAATAGCCAATTGGTTAATAACCCTCTCTATCCCGTCTTGTTTCCTCTATGTCTCTATACCGTCACCTGTCCAGTAAAAAAAAAAAATCTTATAACAAAATCTTTAAAAAAAAAAACCAATACTAACTTAATTAATCTGTTTGGACAAACTGATATCACGGCAGTTTATGTGCACCAACAGTAGTAAAACTCAACTGATAATGAATTCATACTAAGTTGAACATTAACATAAAGGCCCCTAAACTGAACCTTTGCTTTCAGTGGTCAAAATGCCGTGTCAACAGAGAATGGCAGCTGATAAGAAGGAACAGCTTGTTTTGTCTGTAAATGAATGTGAATTTATTCATGTTAAGGTTGTATATGCACAGATTTCATACTAAATAAGTGAATTTTGCTTTTATTTGCTCATGAGACTTTAAATACACTCTAATGCTCATTGATGGATTTTAGACGGCTGTGTAACAAATTCTGTGTATGTTTTTCTGTGTATGCTTGTGTGAGACGTAACTTGAAGGATGACAGCACGTCCTTGGTGCCCATCACAGTGTGCTCCACCCCAGGCTGAGGGCCAGTTGGGGACTGGGTTGACATGGAGCAGTGGAAAGCCAGCAGGTAGGGGCAGTGTCTGTGGGACACCTGAGAGCGGCTGTGACAGGGAGGGGACTGACCCTGCAAAGAGGCCTAGAGCGAGAGAAAGAGAGAGAGAGAGAGAGAAAGGAGAGGGTCGGTAGGGAGCAGCTGGAAAACAGACCCTTCTTGAGAGTGGACAGACGCTCGACATCTGTACACATCTGCCGTGAATAAAAGATAGAGGGAAAGTCCACTTCTTTTTCTAAAGCTTATGTGATGATAGTGTGGTGATGGGTTTCAGCACTGACTGTATAATGTGAAGCTGTAGGCAGGGGGAGCTAAAGTGCAACATCTCAGGGTGCAACTTTGCTCTGTGTAGCTGTCCTCTGCGATAAGGTGCATGAAGACACACATTAAGAGCAGTCAAAAAATATGCTTCTGGGTGGGACTACTGGTTGGTACTGGTCTATACTGGTCACACATATTAATAAGTGTAGAAGTTCTGACTGTTGTTTTTGAATTCCTTGTCTCCACTTTATGCTGGAGACACAAAATGCAGTCCCATAGATACATAGACTCTCTAAATTTGTATATTTACACATGCATCTGTAAATTCTTACTTGTGTCAGGACATGCTGTCCAATGGCCTTTAGAGGACAATCACTTTCCCAGGATCCTTTTGGCCTCCCCTGAAACTCCTGATGAAACACTCTACTGACCTGACAGACAATCTGATTTGTTGCATGCTAACCTGTTTGTGTGTTACTGAGGTCCTCAATGCGTCCTCCAGGTAGCTGTAGCAGGAAGGACAGTGTAGTCAGTGAGGGAGGTGTTGATGGGGCCCACCCCAAGACTCTTTATCCTGCAGACCAAAGCTGGACATTGAAAACTGGCTTTCAAAATCTGAAGTCATCTGAGCCAGGGCGCCTCTGAGTGGGAGGCAAAGAGGAGGATGGGACAGAGGATCGATGTCAAAGGGCAGAAAAATCATTCGGAGACATAAGCCGTATGAGTTTTTACAGTATTGATCTGAGCAGTTTGCATGAAAGACAGAAAAAGAACCATAAATTGTATAGAGATAGAGAAGAGTGTACAGGAAAGGGTGTAGGGGTAATGAGTGTGTGTGTACAGGAAAGGGTGTAGGGGTAATGAGTGTGTGTGTGTGTGTGTGTGTGTGTGTGTGTGTGTGTGTGTGTGTGTGTGTGTGTGTGTGTGTGTGTGTGTGAGAAACTATTGTCTGAAGTTGTCACAGAAGAGCATCCTGTGACAAAAGGAAGACAGGCTGACTTGGCCCTGCCACGCTGTACACAAGAGAGACCTACAGTTCATCTGCACCTACACACACACACGCACTCAATTTTGTTTATTTGAGTTTCTCCTTTGCCAAGGACGGAGCCATTACACATCATTAGTATCCGGTGCACAATTAACTGACCTGAACACTGATGAGCAGGGTCTGGCTGACCCCACATGTCTCCATGGCAACGACCTCCAGCAGAGCAGAGCCACTGTCTGGGCCACTTGTCAGAACCCCCTGGGAGTCCACAGTGACAAGCCGTGTCCTGTCACACACTGACACAGAGCGTGGTGCACGGGGCAGATGGCGTCTCTGGTACACGAGACAACAACACACAGTGGCTATGACAAACAGACTCTTGATTTCTGGGCAAAATTTATATTCCACTGCTGGAAGTTTTAAACCCTTTAGGACTGAGTATCAAGGACACTTCAGCAGGTGCTTACTGTTGTAAAACTTTAAACTCAGCGCTCAGTCTTCCAACTCTCTACCCTGTTGCCTGCCATGCCATACAGAAAGACACGTGCACGCCCACACAGACAGAATCTATTGAATCTTCATTTTGAAGATTAAAAACAATTGAAAATGAGATCAAAAAATTATTAATGCCAAAATGAGCTAGTGCTAATTGGATTGTAAAAACACCATTTGCAGCACACTCACAGTTTAATTGCTTATGTAGTTGTAATGACTTTGATGACTCTGGATGATCTATGGCACAATCAGCAGGTCATTTGCTTAATCTCCCAGTTTTCCACACTATAATTCTGAGCTGTCTGCTCTGTGACAGGATCCTGTTTACCGTTTATTGCGTTGAGCAATAAAGTTGAGTTTTCTTTTTGCCACAGGAATCTTTCTAAAGTATGTGTGGAAATGTACTACAGTCAGATCTTGCTACATGAGGAGAGACTAAAGGAAAGAAGGACAGCAAAAGAAAAATCTTTTGGTTGGACAGGTTTCACATCTTCCATGTCCAGGTAAAAAGAAATAAATATGATGAAATATGAATGTAAGCAGAAGTGGTTTAGGGTGGGTCTGCTCTGCTGTATGCCAGAGCTCTACTGTAAAAAGTTGATAAATTAGTACACATATGCTTAAAGACACACACATGACACATCTGTACAATGCACATACACACAAGTTTGCTTACATGCACATGGAAACCAGAAAGGAACACACACAACACACAGACTTCTGCAGGGGAGAGGGTCACCATGATGGATGCTATTCCTGAATGGCCGTGAGCATTAACAGCCTGGCGACCTGGTAAAAAAAATCATGTCAATTTGTCACAGCTTGAAATGAATCATTCCTGGGTCTGTGATCATGTGCTGCATTAATTATTCTGACCATGTAGCTTAAGTAGTCTGCACGCTGTGAGTGTGTCTGCCAGCATCATGTGTGAAAGAACATTTAGGCCGATGAAGAGGAGTTTGAAGCATCACTGTGAAGGAAGTGAGGCTGTCACACTGCACCCCCTTTTGGTCGAACCCAGTTAACTGAAGCTCTACACCATTAGTACATGTCACTGAGAGGAGCATGAGAGGATAAAGCTACAGAAGGACATGGAGGATAGGCATACATCATTTTCTGGCGCGGCTCCTTTTGGTGGTAAAAATATGAAAGTACCAAAATATTTGTTCAGCTCATTTTGCCATGCAGTGATTATAGCTACAGAGAGAAATGAGCTGGAGGGAGAAGAATAGGGTGGCAGAGAGGAAGATGTAAACACAGGCTGTTCCAACCACTGAGAATGTTTGAGCGTACTGCTTTGTGTTGGCTAATTGAAGGCTGGCTCCTAATGGAGACGACAGATAATGTGTTAGGACTGTTGTCAATAGTTTGCATAGGCTCAGAAAATGTAAATATACAGTATAATCACTAGTCAGATGCCACTCAGTTATTGTGTTTAGCCAAGATGTCACCGGGTGTGTGGATTATTTCTCGTGTCAGAAAAGTTCTGCCGTCAGACAAATATGTTTGATGAGTGTACTTGCACAAAACACAAGTAGATAAATTCTGTATTTGAGCAAAAACTCATAAAAGGATATATATGAAAATGATGAAACTAAATGACAGTGCATACAGTACATTGTATAGGGCTAACAGAAATGTTCTTAGGTCAATTTAGCTTAACTCAATCATCCTTTCATTCATTTATCAATCCATTTAATTCTATTTGTTCATTGTCTACATTGTCTTTCCAATTCAAGGTCGGAGAGATCTGGGATCTATGTGTGCATGCATTTAGTGGAAGGCAACGTAGGCACCAACACACTCACAACAACCGG